ATGACGTCCGCATCTCTGTCTGCATGGGCCACCCAACTCCAGGGAATAGGCTGTCCCTTCCCTTCCCCTCGGGCACCCAGGCCACAGCCACCACTGGGGCGGCCACATCTGCTCAACAGTTGCTCCTCTCCAGGATGAAAGGCCCAGCTGGCGATTGAGCAGGAATCTGTGCAATCTCTCCGGGAATGGGAGATTACTTGGCAGCTGAGCTTCAGCGTCCACTCTGGGTTAGTTTCACATCCAGATCCTCTGGGAGGGAGGAGGGGAGGCAGACATCCGCTTCTCGGCTTCTTCATGGCTGAGACGCTGCCCACCCCCCCCTGCCTCTGAACCTGCGGATTTCAGGGGAGAACACTGCTCGGAAGTCCCAAATCCCATCTCCTTTGAGGCAGCCCCTGGGCATCTCTGACCTGTAAGCTAAATGCGCAAGTACCATCCAACTAACACCTCCCCCTTCTTCCCAGGGAACACAGTGTCAGTGGAGGAGGCCGAGCTACCTTGATGAACCAGGGCAAGTGGCCTTAGCTCTAAAATGGCACTGTGTCCCTGTGCTTATAATGACCAGGAAAGCTCCAGGGACATCATCGATCCAGATCCAGCCGATCAGAAGCTCAGGGCAGTGGGGAGCTCTCTAGACCTCCGAGATAACACAGAGCCACTCCCGTTGGTGCAGCACTCTGACAAACTACCCATGGTCAGGGTACTGAATGGAGGATACCTGCCTCAGCATCCTTGGCCTGGTCTGTGGCTGGGGCTGCTGCCCAGAGTCAGACAAGCAGGCCTGGTGCTGTGTTACACTGCGTTAAAGCCATGGCATGCAGTGCTGTCTTTCCATGTCAGTGCCAGTGTGTGTTCTAGCTGCTCCACTTCCAATCCAGCTCCCTCCTAACGTGCCTGGGGAAGCGGTGGAGGATGTCCCAATTCCTTGGGCCCCTGAAGGAACATGGGAGACCCAGAAGTAGGTCCTGGATCCTGACTTCATATTGGCTCAGTTTGGCCATCACGGTCATTCCAGGAGTGTACTGGCAAATGGAAGACCTCCCTCCCTCTCTCACTCTCTCTCAATCTCATTCACCTGCACTTGCTCTGTTTCTCTCTAATTCTTTTTTTTTATTTTATTGATTTTTTTGACAGAGTTAGACAGTGAGAGGGAAAGACAGAGAAAAAGGTTTTCCTTCTGTTGGTTCACCTCCCAAATGGCCACTATGGCCAGCGCTATGCCGATCCAAAGCCAGGAGCCAGGTTCTGCCTCCTGGTCTCCCACGCAGGTGCAGGTGTCCAAGCACTTGCGCCATCCTCCAGTGCCCTCCAGGGCCATGGTAGAGAGCTGGACTGGAAGAGGAGCAGGCGGGACTAGAACATGGTGCTCATATGGGATTCTGGCACTGCAGGCGGAGGATTAGCCGAGTGAGCCACGGCGCCGGCCTTCTCTCTCTTTAATTCTTAAAAACAAATGAAATAAATATTTTTATTAAAAAGCCACATTATCATCTCATTAGATTGAGAAATAACCTGAAAAGATTCAATTCCATTCATGATAAAAAAAAAAAAAACTTCCACAAAGTAGGTATAAAAGGAATAGGCATCAAAATCTTAAAGGCTATGTATCACAACTCAACAGCCAATGCCATGCTGGATGGGCAAAAAATGAAAGCATTTTTGTCAAACATGTAACAACACAAGTATGTCAAAACTCTTATTGAATGCAGTACTGTAAATTTTCACAGGTTAAAGAAAAGAGAAGAAAGAAAGAAACTGCCCCAACGTTATAAAAGAGAAGTGAAATTCTAAATGCTTGCAGGTGATATGATATGGTACCAGAAAAAAAAACTAAAACAATCCACCAAAAACACTGCTAGAACTGGTGAAAACAATTAAGTGAAGTTTCAGGATACAAATAAACATACTGTGTAAGGAGCAGTTTTTATACATTAATGATGAACTCACTGACAGAGCAATCAACAAATATCCCAAGGACAATAACCACAAAAATAAAAAGTTTAGGAAAAAATTTAACCAAAGAAGTCAAAGAGCTCTAAATGAAAATCACCATACACTGATGAAAGAAATCACCAAGGACACAAAAGTGGAAAGATGTCTCTTTTGGTGGATTTGAAGAATCGGTATAATTAAAATCTCTACGTAACGCTACCTAAAGATTCAATTAAATTTTCATCTAAATGCCAATGATGTTCTTTACAGAATTACATAAATAAACCTAAAATTCATACAAAATCAGACACGATCCAGAATAGATAAGGTGTTCCTGAGCAAAAAACGGAACAAAGTTAGCCCGGATGCCTCACAACACCTGATTCAAAGCATTCTACAAATCTACACTAAACAAAATATCAAAGCACTTGCATAAAAAGTGACATACTGACCAATGGAAGAAAACAAGGTGAGCTCCAATATTAATCAAAATATGTACAACACCAGATTTTTACAAAATTACTCAGACCATCCATTGGGGTAAGGAAAAACTCTTCAACAAATGCTGTTGGCAAAAAATGGATGTATTTGTAGAGAAGATTGAAATTAGATTCATCACTACCACAAAATATGAAAATCAACTCAAAATGGATCAGAGACCTAAATCTATAACCCAGGGCTATGAAGCTTTTTGAAGGAAATAGAAAGAAAAGCTCCAAGACACTGGAATAGGGGATGACTCTTAGAGAAGACCTTCAAAGCCGAGGCAGCAAAATCAAAACCTAACAAATAGGGTCAAATGAAATTAAAAGCTTTGCAAAGCAAAGAAAATCATCACAGAGTGAAGAGACATCCAAGAGAATGAGCAAAAGATACTTGTCAGCTACCTATACAAAAAGGATTCATAACATGAATACACCTGCAACTCAAAAAAAAAAAAAAACAATAAAAAACCCAACCAATCCAGTTATGAAATGGCCAAAGGAACTCAACAGACAGTTCCCTGTAGATACACAGATGGCCAACAAATATAGGAAAAAATGCTCAACATCACAAGCTATCAGGGAAACGCAAAGCCAAACCACAATGAGATATCAGCTCACACGTACATACTGGCTAAAACCCAAAGGAGAGTCACAATGAGGAGGAGGATGTGGGAAAAGGGGAACACTTACACAGTGGTGGTGGGAATGCAAATTAGTGCAGTCATTGTGGAAAACAGTATGGAGATTTCTTAAAAAACCAGAAACAGACTTTGCATATGATTGAGTAAGCCCTCTACTGCTATAACCCAGAATACGTAAACATATTTATCAGAGAGATATGCCCACCACAATATTTATTGTAGTATGGTTCATGGCAGCCACACAAGAAAATGTCAAAGACTTCAAACAGAAGTTGAATGGATGATAATAATAATAATAATAAAATACACACACAAACAACAAACTTCCAAATCTCTCTTTCTACAAGATTTTTCAAGGACCCACATGATGCTCTCTGCATTACTTTAAAAAACCAGAACAAATGTGGGCACATAACAGACACTGCTTTGAAAGCCAAGAAAAACACATTACCAAGAGAAAGTCCTCTGCCAGAATTCTGACTTCAACAAGCTGACTTCAGCCACAAACATCATTCCCAGGCTAAATCAGGTTCTCCGGGTTCCCAAGCTGCCTATCAACCCACTTTTCTTTCAGATAACATCTTCCCCATCTCATGGTAGTCTGGAGACTTTGGTCGAATTTCCTGATTAACTCAGCACACATTCCCCAGTCCCTCCTGAAAGGTCCCTCTGCCCGCCTCCTGATATCGTTTCCCTCACTTTAACTAAGGTTGCTCCCCAGGCCCTGTCCCAGATCTCACACTATGATGCTCCACTAGTTCTTACAAGTAGACACTAGTTCTTACAAGTTCTCTCTCTCTCTCTCTCTCTCTACACACACACCCACCCACACACACACACACACAAATGAAAATACCTTAAAATTCCTCTTTCCACAAACTTTTTCAAGGACTCTCTTGATGCTCTCTGCTTTATCTTAAAAAACCAGAACAAATGTGGGCACATAACAGACACTCCTTTGAAACCCAAGAAAAACACGTTTACCAAAAGAAAAGTCCTCTGCCAGAATTCTGACTTCTACACACTGACTACAAGTCACAAACTTCATTCCCAGCCAAAGACAGGGTCTGCACATTCCCAAGCCCCTATCAACCCACTTTTCTTTCAGATAACATCTTCTCCATCTCTTGGTAGTCTGCACACTTTGGTCAAATTTCCTGATTAACTCAGCACACATTCCCCAGTCCCTCCTGAAAGGTCCCTCTGCCTGCCTCCTGATATCCTTTCCCTCACTTTAACTAAGGTTGCTCCCCAGGCCCTGTCCTGGATCTCACACTCTGATGCTCCACTAGTTCTTACAAGCAGATCTACCAGCTCCTCCCTATTACAACTCTCCTCATGGTGGCATGCCTTCCTCCCCACAATCCTTCCATTTTCCTTTTCTATCATAGGATGGTGACATACAGAAATAACCTGTTTTCAGCTCCCCAAACCTTGCATGCCCCAGGTTCTTCCATTTGCATCTAACCCTCCACTCCCGCTGCATGAAGTACTTGCAATCCCATCGTCCTTAGCCTGAAACTCTAAAACATAACAACTACTACCATGTCTCCCCAAAGCAGACTTTTTATCTTTTGTACTCTGAGTCAACACATGCAGTTTTCCTCCCAGGTCTCCCTCCCACTGCCTGGAGACACAGTCTTCCCATATTAACATGTTCTTTGGCCCCTAATTCTTGGCAGAGCCCAAGAGAACTCATTCACCAATATCTTGTTCACCTCTGTCTCTGTGGCCAACACTCTATTCTAGGAACACTAGACCCCCACATTTCTGTCTCCATATGTCTATAGGGATCCCCAACTTGACCCTCCTTCCCAAAGCTTGGAAGTCCACCTTGCTCTCAGCCTGGCCAGCCCAACCCCAGGGAACAGGGTTCCCTTCCCTTCCCCTTCCCCTTGGGCCCAAGGGCTGCCATCAACAGGACACAGCCACATGTACTAACCAGTTGCTCCTGTCCAGGGTGAAGGGCCAGCTAGGTTTTACCAGGAAGCCAAGCAGGATCCACAAATGGAAGACTACCCAGCAGCTGAACTTCTGTGTCAACTTGGTGTCCAGTTTCATATCCATGAAAATGTCTACAATGAAATTTATAAAACATTAAAGAAATGGAAAAAGACACAAAATAATGGAAAAATCTTCCATGCCCATTCACTGGCAATGTCAACATAGGGAAAATATCCATTCTACCACAAGCAATTTACAGACACAATGGGATCCCAATCAAAGGTCAAATAACATTTGCCCAGGTGAGAGAAAACAATGCTAAATTTTACATGAAAACACAGAACATCTGAATAGTGAAAGCAATCTCAGACAACATAAACAAAACTCGAAGGGCAGTTACAATCAAAACAGCTTGGTATATGCAAAAAAAAAGATATATAGAAAAATGAAAGAGAAAAGAATCACCTGAAATAATGCACACATCTCAACTAATCTATCTTTGAAGAAGGAGCTAAAGATCAATCCCAGGTGCAAAGGACATCCTCTTCAAATAATGGTCCTGAGAAAATTCCACATAAAGAACTATGAAAGAAGAACCATACCTTAATTATATACACTCCAAAGAACAAAATCTAAAACTCAATATCAAACTACTAGAGAACATTGGGGAAAACTGAAAGATATTGGCATAGGCAAAGATTTCTGGGGAAAGATCCCAGTAGCACAAGTAACAAAAGCAGAAACAGACAAACGTGATTCCATGAAGTTGAGAAGCTTCTGTGCTGAGAAAGCAACACTCAGCCATGTGAAGAGGCAACAGAAAGAATGGGAGAAAATGGTCTGGACACTATGAAACTGATAAAAGATTAATATCCAGAATCTACAAAAAGCTCAAGGAACTCAACAACAAGAAAACAAAAAATCCAGTTAAGAATGGGCAAAGGCCGGATGCTCCCTCCATCACTCCTGCACCCCTCACCTGGGACAGATGCCCCCTCCATCACACCTGCAACCCACACCTGGGGCAGATGCCCCCTCCATCATGCCTGCACCACACATCTGGGGTGGATCTGTCCTCCCTCACTCCTGCACCCCTCACCTGGGGCAGATGCCCCCTCTGACACTCCTGTACCACTCACCTGGGCCAGATGCCCTGTCACTCCTGCACCCCTCACCTGGGCCGGATGCCCCCTCCATCACCCCTGCACCCCTCACCCAGGGCAGATGCCCCCTCCATCACTCCTGCACCCCTCACCTGGGACAGATGCCCCCTCCATCACACCTGCAACCCACACCTGGGGCAGATGCCCCCTCCATCATGCCTGCACCACACATCTGGGGTGGATCTGTCCTCCCTCACTCCTGCACCCCTCACCTGGGGCAGATGCCCCCTCTGACACTCCTGTACCACTCACCTGGGCCAGATGCCCTGTCACTCCTGCACCCCTCACCTGGGCCGGATGCCCCCTCCACCACCCCTGCACCCCTCACCCAGGGCAGATGCCCCCTCCATCATGCCTGCACCCCACACCTGGGGCGGATCTGCCCTCCATCTCACCTGCACCTCTCACTTGCGGCAGATGCCCCCTCTGTCCCTCCTGCACCGCTCACCTGGGGCGGATGCCCCTGTCACTCCTGCACCCCTCACCTGGGGCGGATCTGCCCTCCATCAGTCCTGCATCCCTCACCTGGGGTGGATCTCCCCTCCATCACTCCTGCAATCCTCACCTGGGGCAGATGCCCCCCATCCCCAGTCACTCCTGTGCCCTTAATATCTAGGGAAAAAGTAACTCAAGATAAAGCATACCATTCTATAAAGATAAATAGTGAATATATCAATGAGATATAGCACTATAATACTGTAAGTTCAAAATATTTGAATTAAAATGTAGCTGAGAAAATAAACTGATAAATCTCCAATCATAGTTGCAGATTCTCACATAATTTTTGTAACTGTTGAAATTAGAAAAAAAGAGCACAAAACATGCATTTCAAAATCATTGTCGTGGCTGGCGCTGTGGGGCAGCAGGTTAAAGCCTAGCTTGCAGCACTGGCATTCCATATACGCACTGGTTCAAGTCCCAGCTGTTCCATTTCTGATCCAGCTCCCTGTTAATGTGCCTGGGAAAGCAGCAGCAGATGGCCCAAATCCTTGGGCCCTTGCACCCACGTGGGAGACCCAGAAGAATCTTCTGGCTCCTGGCTTCGGATCGGCTCAGCTCCAGCACTTCCAGCCCTATGAGGACTGAGGCAGCAGATGGAAGACCTCTCTTTTCTCTCTCTACCTCTCTCTGTAACTGTGCCTTTCAAATAAATAAATTAAATCTTTAAAAAAAATCATTGTCAATAAGCTCATCCTAATCAACATTTATAGAATTCTATTTGCAGAAATGTAAATACATGTTATTTTCAGGTACACATGAAACGTTGACTCATTAGACAGTATTTTAAAGTGTCATAGTTAAATCTCAATAAATTTGAAAGAGATAAAGTAAAACAGTCAAAATGTAACAGGACTATATTAGAAATCAGTAAGAAGGAAATATTTTTAAAATATCCAACCATTTTAAGCAATACACTTCTACATAAATCTTCAAATCCAAAAGAAATCTCAGGACTGAAACATATTTTGAGTTGAATATAATTAAAACATGGGTTTTGAAATCTGTGGCATACAGAAATAGCAGAATTTATAGGAAAATTAATGTTTAAAATGATCATATTATTAGAAAATGTTTAAATCAATGACACACCCTAAGGAAGTAAATGAAAGTAGATAAAACCAATAACAACAAAAAAAGAGAAAGAGAGTAATGGAGTGAAACAAAATTAAATTGAAAGCAAAGAACACAGGAAAACTAATGATGGTAACTATTGTCTATTGGAAAAAAGGGGAATTTCTAAAACTTTACTAGAATAATTTAACAAAGAAATACAAAAATAACAAATAGCAGAAATAAAAATTATATCCTACAGATATTAAAATAATATAGAAATAAGATGGAATTCATGCTGACCAGTTAAATAATTTCGATGAAATGAATAAACTCTTTATAATACACAGAATTAGTGTTAAATGGGATGATGATACTCCACTTTCCGTAGATCACACCCACAGCAGATGATGCTTGCTCTGTAGGCACTGATAGGTTGGCAAAGTCACTATGAAAACTTCCACATTTATGTTCATCATGAAGAAGTAAGGGAATGCCAACTGATTACCTATTTGCTTGGACCCAGCGTGCACAGATTCTAATCCATTCCAGTTTCTACAACATAAGTAATATGTACCAAATAAATTTTTTAAAATTTTGTATGATTTACTTATTAATTTGAAAGCCCAAGATACAGAGACTGTGACATAGAGAGATCTTCCATCCAACTGGTTTACTCCTCAGGTGGCTGCATCAACCACTATGGGACCAGGCCAAAGCCAGGAGTGAGGAGTCAGGAGTCGAGACTTCCCGGTCTCCCATGAGGGTGGCAGGGCCCCAAGCACTTGTTCCATCTGCCACTGCTTTCCCCAGGACATTCGGGAGAATCCTGATCAGAAGTGGAACATCCTGCATACAAACCAGTGCCCATATGGGACACTGCCATTACAGAAGGTGACTGAACCTACTATGCTACAACACTGGCCCCCAATTTTTTTATTGATTGGAAAGGCAGGGACACACAAAAGAGAAAAAGACAGATGGGGAGAACGTCCATCCTTGTTTAGCCCTCCAAATAGGTACAATATCCATGGCTGGGCCAGGCAGAAGCCAGGACCCAGGCATTCAACCTGGGTCCATGTGGGTGGCAAGGACCCAACAACTTGAGCCACTACCTGTTGTCTCCCAGGGTGGGTATTACAGGAAACTGGAACTGCAAGGAGAGCTGGGACTTGAACTCAGGCCCTCTGTTATGGGATGGGAGTGTCCCAACAGGTGGTGTCATTGCTGTGCCACACACCCTCCCCCAGAGAGAAGTTTACCAGGAGAATCCTGGATGCCATGGTTGAGCTAGACTGAACTCAGCAACCAGGAGCTTCATTCACATCTCCCACGTGGGAAAGCAGAGAAGATGGCCCATGTCTTTGGGCCTCTGAATCCAACTGGGACACCTGGGGGAAGCTCTCTGAGCCATGGGGTGCAGAAGATCTGCTCCACCCATCCATGGAGAGAGAGCCATGTTCCCAGAACCAGCTCTCTGTGGCTGCTCCACCTTGGGTTTTGAGCCCCTGAGCCTCTGCTATGTTGAGTGCCTGGGAGTACCTCACAGTCCTACCTGGGTGCACAGCCCCCATCAATCCTCCCAGCCAGACTCAAGGTCAGTGGGGAACAGGGACTTTGCTCTCTGGCAATATCCCTGGATCCCACACGTGCACCAAGAGTCACTCGCCACAGCCCCTCCTCATTTCATACTGGCTTCTCCTCCCCACCATCTGCCCAAGACCTGCTCAGCTGCTACTTACACCCATAATTCCACCTGCCCTCTCTCAGCCACCTGTTTGTGGGGAAACGGGGAGAGGGAAATGTGTCCCCCCTTTTTTTTCACTGCGTTAGTGGGTACCCTATCACACTCAGGACTCCAGGCCGCATTCACAGACAGTGCAGTCGACCAGGCTCTCCCTCCAGCTAGATCACCAGTGCCACAGGTTTCTGCAGACTGATCTTACCTCACTCTCCAAAGCTGGTGCAGTCTCCTGCTCTCAGCTCCTGGGGTCATGTGCTGTGTCTGTGCTTGCTGCTTTGCATCCACGTGGGCCTTCCACCATGATCCACAGTGTCCTTCTTCCTTCCTCAGCACTTCCTATAGTTTGCTCTCCAAGTCTTCCCTAAGAATGTACTTCATCCACTATTTTTTTACTGTTTTCCCCTAGCCTAAAGCAGTACACCCTTTCCCCATTCTGCTCTTTTGGAATCCCCAAGATGCTTTACTTTAAAATAGTTATGCCTCATGAACGGGCATAGCAACATAGCAGAATGCAATTTATTTTTTAGAGGTATGGCATAAGCAAATTCAGTTCAGAGTATTAGCGTTAGACTTTGTGGCATTTATTCTCACTAGTTAATTTTCAGAAGTCTTACTAACAGTAAGGAATTCCTTTGGGAAATTTAACAGTTTCCTTGCTGAAAACCACCGGGTA